AATAAGTCCCACTTGATCATGGTGAATGATTCTTTTCATGTGCTGCTGAATTTGGTTTGCCAGTATCCTGTTGAAGTTTATGTGCACCAATGATATTTGCTGTAACTTTTCTTTTTTGGTGTGGTATCCTGTCTGCTGTTGATATCTGAGTAATGCTACCTCATAAAATAAGTTTGGAAGCATTTCTTTTCTTTTCTTTTTTATTGATTTTTACAGAGAGGAAGGGAGAGGTATAAAGAGTTAGAAACATCGATCAGCTGCCTCCTGCACACTCCCCACTGGGGATGTGCCCGCAACCAAGGTACATGCCCTTGACCAGAATCAAACCTGGGACCCTTCAGTCCGCAGGCCGACGCTCTATCCACTGAGCCAAACCAGTCAGGGCTGCAAGCATTTCTTGCCCTTCAACTTTTGAAAGAGTTTGAGGAGCATTGACATTACTTCTTTCAATGTTTGGTATGTTCTATTTCCATTTTCATTTGCTTCAAGGTATTTTTTTATTTCTTTGTTGACCAATTGGCTGTTCAGGAGCATGCTGTTTAATCTCCACATATTGTTGAATTTTCCAGTTTTCTTCTTACAATTAATATGTAGTTTCATAACATGTACAGAAAATATGCTAGATATGATTTCAGTCTTCTTAAACTTAAGACTTGTTTTGTGACCTAATATATCATCTAGCTTAAAGAATATTCCATGACTACTTGAGAAGAATGTGTATTTTGTTACTTTTGTATGAAATGTTTTATATTTTAAGTCCATCATCTAACATGGTTTAAGGCCAATATTTCCTTATTGATTTTTTGGTTCCATTGATCTATCCATTGATGCAAGTGGGATATTAATTACCATTACTGAGATTGTATTGCTGTCTATTTCTCTATTTAGGTCTGTTAATATTTGCTTTATATATTTAGGTGCTCCTATGTTGGGTGTATAAATATACACAATTGTTATATCTTTTTGTTGGATTGATCCCTTTATCATTATGTAATATCCATCTTTGTCTCTATTAGAGTCTTCGTTTTACAGTCTGTTTTGTCTGATATAAGTTTAGCTACTCTTTTCTTTTGGTTTCTATTTAATGTGGAATATCTTTTTCCATCCCCTTATTTTCAGTCTGTGTGTGTTCTTACATCTGAAATAGGGAGAGTATGGATGGGGCTCTTTTTTTTTTCCAATTTATTCAATCACTCTGATGAAAAAATTTAGTCATTTACATTTAATATAATTATTGATAGCTATGGACTTTTTGCCATTATGTTGTTTTATGGCTGTTTTGTAATGCCTCTCTTTTTTTCTTCTCATGTTGCTCTGATCTGAAAACTTTCATTAATGGTATGCTTAGATTCCTTTATCTTTTATCTACTTTTGTTTTTTCGTTACTATGAGATTTACATATAACAACCTATATTTAAACAGTCTATTCCAGTGGTTCTCAACCTTCCTAATGCCGCGACCCTTTAATACAATTCCTCATGCTGTGGTGACCCCCAATTTCATTGTTACAAATTGAACATAATTAAAGCATAGTGATTAATCACAAAACAATATGTAATTATATATGTATTTTCCGATGGTCTTAGGCGACCCCTGTGAAAGGGTCGTTTGACCCCCAAAGGGGTTGTGACCCACAGGTTGAGAACCGCTGGTCTATTCCAAGTTGATAAGTTAAGTTTGAATGTATCCTAAAGCTCTGCATTTTTTACTCTCCACTGCTCCCATATCTTGTTTTTGAGGTTACATCTTTTTTCTTTTGTAATCCTCAACTAATTATTGTGTTTACATTTTTACTAGTTTTGTTTTTTTAACCTTCATGTTAGATTTATAAGTGATTAAACCATCACCTTTACAATATAAGGTTATCCTGAATTTTTACTTTACCAGTGAGATTCATTCTTTCATGTGTTTTTCTGTTACTAGTTAGCACCCTTTCATTTCAGCTTAAGGAAATCTTTTAACGCCCTAGCCGGTTTTGCTCAGTGGATAGAGCATCGGCCTGCAGACCGAAGGGTCCCAGGTTCGATCGCAGCCAAGGACACGTGCCTGGATTTCGGTCTCAGTCCAATGCACAAGAGGCAGCCAATCAATGATTCCCTCTCATCATTGATGTTTCTATCTCTCTCTTTCTCTCCCTTCCTCTCTGAAATCAATAAAAATATATATTTTTTTTAGAAAGAAATCTTTTAACATTTCTTGTAAGGCCAGTCTAGCGGTGTAGAACTCCTTTAGCTTTTGCTTTTCTGGAAAACTATCTCTTCGTTAATTCTGAACAGCTTTGCCAGGTAGAGTATTCTGGTTGGAAGTTTTTCTTTCAGCACTTTAAATGTATCATGCCATTTCTTTCTGGCCAGCACCGTTTCTGCTGAAAAATCTGATAGTATTACTGCCAGGGAGAGGGGCAGGGGAAGAAAGTTTGTATAAAACAAGTTGTTTTTCTCCTGGTGCTTTTAAGTTTCTCTCCTTGTGTTTAACCTTTGACATTAATTACAGTGTGTCTTTGAGTGGGTCTCTGGGTTCATCTTTTTTGGACTCTAAGCTTTCTGTGTCTAGATGCCTGTTCCTCCCTGGGCAGGGAAGTTTTTAGCCATTATTTTTTCCAATCATTTTTCTGCCCCTTTCTTCTCTTTCTGAGATCCCTGTAATGCAAATGTTTGGTCCAGCTAGTTTTTGAGGGGTTTTTTTTCCCCTCAGAGGAAATTCACCATATTGTGGCTATCGATTTGGTGTATCAATGGAAGGAGGTGAGTGTAGTATCTCCCTACACCACCATCTTGAACCAGAACCACTCATCACCTTTTTCCTGATTAGTAATTTTGTCATATAACTTCTATAGTTTTACTTTCAGTACTTTTCAGCTTTTCTGGATCTTATGTTTGAGATTTATCACTTATAAACAGTTCGTGTTTTCTTCTTAATCCAGTCTGATACTCTTTATATTTTAAGTGACCTGTTTAGTACATTTAATATAACTTTAATGTGACTTCTAGACATGCCCTTGAACATTAATAGGATTTCACCAGACTGAGAATGTGTGGGAAACATTTCAGGAGGAATAATTAATATGAAAAAGCAACAAAGAAACATAGAAATGAACTTCATGCCAGGATAAAGGTCAGTAGTTAGACCTCTTGGGGCAGACAGAAGTGGCAGAACATTAAGCAGCAGAGGAGACTTGGGCCGTTCTGTCATGGTGAAGAGTTTAGACAGCTCTGCGGTCTTCCCTGTCTATAGTCTCTTACACAGTGTGGGACACATGCTAAAAATGATCGAATTCTTCTAAAACTGCACCTGTTACTTTTGTAGAGCAAAATGAAAATACAAGATGCAGTTCTTGCAATTATTAACCAGCTAATGCCATTGAAAAGACTGAACAAGATATTCATTTTAATGGTACTAGTAATATAATTAAGAGTGCAGAAAAATGAAAAATAAATCGGTCTTCAATAAAAAGGGAGATTTCTGAGGTGAAAATGGAACTGGTCTCTGACACAACATATTGTAATGGTATTGTTTCCTCTTCTTTCTTACTAGCCTAACCCATGAACTCCTTCGTGTAAGGATTACATCTTTTCTGTGTCTTCAGAGCCTGCCAGCATAGTTCTTGCAATTACTAAACAAGTGTTGGGAGGGGTGATCATGGCTGGTTCCTGAGTAGTGAGGAGCCAGGCTAACTGGAGTGTGTTCTTAAACATAGCGAACAGTGAATTCTGTGGCGTGGAGAGTGAGGATGGTCAGGATGAGAGGCTTGGAAGGTTTTGAGCAGGAACAGAGAGAAAATAATATCAGTCATGCCCGATGCCCTGTGACTGTGGTTCATGTTCTCTTTGTAATTAGCCAGGGTTACTAAGGGTGGGTATGGAATAGAATGAATGGAACCTATGGCAAAAACATAACAAAGCCTGGACACTGTCTGCGTAGCCCCAGCCAACTCAGGCCTTGTCTCGTGGCAGCCTGACCGCCTTGAAAAGCCTTGCTGCTTTTGACCCTCTCTGCTCAGCGACTTTATTCCATATTCAGTCTGGGAATCTCAGGCTGAATTTCCTTTAACAAATCTGGACGGTGTCCCACGGTTTTTAGTTCTCACTGTCCTTAAGGCAGATAATTACTTTGAAAATACCCCTTTCAGTTCTTTCCAGAGTAAAAAAACCTGTTTATATTAATAAGATTTAGGTTAAGCGGATAATAGTGTAACTAAAATGTGGAAATAAAGTGCATTGCCGATATGCTATAACTTATTTAAAGCACCCCAGTTGTTTTTCTGTGTTCATATATATAGTTATTTTCCTTTGGGGAAATATTTTTTAATTTATAAATTTAGGAACTTGTAAAATATATTTGATTTTCAGAAAATGGACAGTTCTCTATGATGATACATTTTTTTAAAGCCTCGTTTTCTTTATTTGAGTCTCTTTTTTTTAACCTGGATTTTTTCAATTCTATGGATTTTGGGTCCTCGGGTAATTTGAATTCAGAAGAATTTTGGGGATGAGTCTATTGACATTGTGTGGTGGCTTCTTTGCTTTCTACATAACGAGCATTTCAGGGATTGCACTGATATTTAGTTTCTCTATAGGAAAGAGGTTCTCAGTGTTTAAAAATATTCCCAGAGCCATGCGCTGAGCTAGTTATTATTTTAATTTCCTCAAGCTGCAGGCTGCTGTGCTTAGAATCACAGACCTCAAAATAACTCTGGCACCAGAAATTTATGGTCCATGCCTTAAATAGCTCAGTATTTTTGACAACTGTAATAGGAAATATAAAGCTACTACATCATTTTTAAATAACTGAAAATTTTTTTTAAATTGGATATGTATTTTCAACGTTGAACTAAGTGTGTATGTGATGCCCTGCTGAAAACAAATTGTCATCCTTAAGTTTAAACATTTAGGTTCAAGGGGGAAATGACCCTTAGATATTTTTGGACACGAGGTTATAGGAATAAGAAAAGTTATTTCAGCACAGCAGAGTTATACAAAGACAGTTGTATAAATCCAGACTTTTGAAAGGATGAGTACTTTTACTTGGCACTAGGAAAAACAACAGGCTGCTACAGAGTGCCCTGGGCCTTGCCGTAAGAAGAAGGAGGTGCCCGGCTGGTGTTAATAAAGTCCTGGGGCATCACTTTTTTCTTTTTGGATATTTACATCCATGAATTGAAAATATCCCCAATAGCATCCTCTTCAATCTGATGTTATTCAGATAAGGTGTTATTCCAGTGATGACAACCATAGAAATAGGAGATCTGACCATGCCTACTCTCCAGCTTTCTGTAGGGAACTGTAGTGTCGCTCTGTAAGAGAGAGATATTTAATAAAACAAAGAACATTCATTGTTCGTGTCCTCTAGCAGGCACTGTACTCAAGTGCTCAACGCAAATGATCTCAGTTAATTCTTCCAAGTATTTGTGACATTCCTTTTTTAAGTAGATGGGGAAGGAGAGAAATCTCAGGTGGAGCCTGTCTGTGGTAACCCAGCTGAGCTGATCCAGAGCTTGAGCTTATTGTACACACCGTGCCTGGAAAACATCACCAGCATGTGATACAGAGCAGAGCTCAATAAATGGAAGCTCCCGTTCTACCATAGAAAATTGTGTACAGAGAATAGTTCTCTTACCACAAAACAGAAGTGGAGAGCTGATTGGACTGTTTGGAGTATTTTCACAGCAGCGACGAAACATCACTCAGATCCGGGCGTACATTCTTTATCTTGTTCCTCTTTTCCTCCTGAATCCTGCACGATGGGGAAGGATGGTGCACAGATACTTTATTACAGCCCTTTCGTTTTCCTGTGATGGTTAGTTGAAACCAGGGGTTAAGATTGAGAAATTGTCTAACTGAAACCTATAGGTGACTTCAAGTTTTACCTAACCACGTTTTGGGAACGATTTGGCAAGTATTGGCTGGCTTACTTCAACTCACAGTGATTCGTTTCAAAGATCTGTAATGGGAGCCAGCTCAGCACAGCCACTAGGGAATACAGCTGCCAAGAGACACATTTGTAAGAAATGAAACACTGAACCTGAGCGTGTTGGTTTCCTAGGGCTGCCACAGCCAAGGCCACAAGCCAGGTGGCTTAAACCACAGAAATGCATTGTCTCGCAGGCTGGAGCTGGACTGTCAGCAGGGTGGCCTTCCCCGAGGGCCGTGAGTGAATCTCTTCTGTGCCCCTTGCCTAGTTCTGGTGGTGTGCTGGGCATCTTTGGTGGTCCTTGGCTTAAGGAAGCATCCCCTGATCTCTGCCTTCATCATCACATGGTGTTCTTCCTGTGTGAAGATTTCCCCATTTTATAAGGGCACCAGTTTCCTAACCGCCACTTCCCCATTTATAAAGACCATTCTAATGGCATCTTTTTAACTTGATTGCCTGGTAAAGACCCTCTCTCCAAATAAGGTCCTCTCCTAAGGTTAGGACTTCAGCATATGAATTTGAGGGGGACACAGTTCAACCCGTAACACTAAGCATCAACAACTACGTGTTGCATGTGCCCCTTTGCTGGCAGCTCCACCCTCCACCTACACTAGCTAAGGTATTACCCAGAGTGTGTCCACGTTACTGAATGAGTTGTATTTAGTAGCATGTCTCTCGTTTCCAGAGTAATACCAAACTAATAAAACTCTACACTGATTCAAAGTTGGAATTGCTCCTTTCTGCCAGCCCGGCCTACCTCAGGATTGGAAGCCTGCAGGGGGAAAGTTGACATCGTACGCTTCCTTCCTTGCTCTGCCTTTCTGCCCCTCCCTTCTGCTCTTTTAATGTTGTTGTTTTTATATCCTTCCAGGGAATACCACATTCGTGTCTTCCGTCAATAGAAATGAATCTTCCCACAGCACTGTGAAACCATCTACAAATCCAGTTTCCCCAGTGACAAGCACCACCTCAAAATCCTCAGCAAAGCCATCAACTCCAGTTTCTTCAAGAAGCGTGACAGCCACCACCTTGAAACCCACAGCGACTTCTCAGATGACAACACAAGGGGTCTCAGCAAATATGACTTCCACCACCTTAAAGTCTACACCCAAAATAACAAGTGTTTCACAACACACATCCCAGATGTCGACATCCACAATGGCCACAACCCACAACAGTTCAGCGACATCTGTTTCTTCATCGGTAACAAGTATGTATTAAAAATGACCTATTTCTCCTGAAAAAATAAATACAGAAATTTAGGCAAAGATTTACTATTAAATAAATTAGCTGTAGAGATCAGGAATAGAGTTGACACAGTGCTCTTGTCCCTTTAAAAAAAAAAAAATGGGTTTCTGCCTTGACCGGTTTGGCTCAGTGGATAGTCGGCCTGCGGACTAAAGGGCCCAGGTTCGATTCTGGTCAAGGGCATGTACCTTGGTTGCAGGCACATCCCTAGTGTGGGGTGTGCAGGAGGCAGCTGATTGATGTTTCTCTCTTATTGATGTTTCTAACTCTCTATCCCTCACCCTTCCTCTCTGTAAAAAATCAATAAAATATATATTTTAAAAAATGAGTTTCTAACATAATCCTACCAAATAAGACCTATCTGTGAATAAGTAATTTATACTAACGGATTTTATATTATGATGTGAAAACTTATCAGACCTTTAACTCTCTGCCCTCATTGTAGAAAGGAATTAGGCAGGCTCAGTCTACATGATTTCAAAATCATGGTGAACCTTGTTTTCAATTAATTTGTGCCAAAAAGTTATTTAAGATGGTCTTAGATTCAATCATGTATGTCGTATCAGAGTCTCAGCACTTTAATTTTTGCTTTTTTGAAAATATAATGCCTGTGAAACCATGCATTCGAAAACCTTAAGAAGGTCCTCTTTTTAAGTTATCCAGTGTTGAAGTTCTATTTAAAAGCTAGTGATTACACTTATTGGAACAAATAGCAGGCTTTCTAGTTTCTTTTATGTGTTTTTACATATTTTGTTTTCTTTATTACTACAATTTATGTATTGAAATCAACTTTAATATATTGGGCTCTTGTCATGATTAAAAACAAAATAGTTTAGATTCCCAATGTATTTAAAAGAAATTTCACTTAGAAACATTTATTCAGATTGGATCCAGTTTCAGATTATAGCTGTGTTCTCCAGACAGCTTGTTAAGGCATGAACTCTTTAGAGCAGCAGTCGCCAACCAGTGGTCACTGGTGGTCCGTGAGGTCCAAAAGGTTGGCGACCGCTGCTTTAGAGGATTCATAAAATAAAATAAAAACTCCCCAAGTCTTGCTCTCTCTGAGTTTTTGGTAGACCATCCACGTCCAGTGCTATCAAACACCTTAAGATCCTGGGGTTGCAGGCACTGGAGGTTTTTCATTAAGAGATGTGTTAGATAAACTGAAGAAAGCTAGAGCCCAGCAACTCGCTAGACACACTGGAAAGCAACATTCTTTGCTTAGATTCCCCCTTGTCCCCAATTCAGTGTTCACTTATATAGAGATTCAGAAAGTTTTAGTTCATTATGTTTTTAAAAATCGCTAAAGCCTATTTTGTTTTGTTTTCTTCTAGTCACAGCAACTATAAATTCTAAAGAAAATAAAGGATCAAAATTTGATATTGGCAGCTTTGTCGGTGGTATTGCATTAACACTGGGAATGTTATCTATTCTTTACGTTGGATGCAGAATGTATTATTCAAGAAGAGGCATTCAGTATAGAACCATGTGAGTTTTGATTGCCTAGGACTTTTTAAATTATTATTTCTGTATTTAAATATCATGACAGAATGTCAGTAATAGGGGAATGTTCATCTCTGATATTAGAAATTCGTAGATTTATGAATTATATTCCCATTAATCCTCTATACCCAAAGGAAATTATTTGTGTACCGCTTCTAATTATAATTTTTTACCCCAAAAATTGATATATATACCTATAAAAATACATTTTATTAATGTCATACATTTGTTATCAGAGACCCAAGTTAAGCCAACGCTTTCTACTTCCTTATAGCTCTACTTGTAAGAAGTACTAGATCAGATTTCATACGGCTATTGGCCTAGCATTCTTGTGTTTGTCAGTAACACTAAAATAACATACTTGGTAAAAACATGGTTTTTGCTTTCGATGACAAAGGCAAAGCACCTGAAGAAATTCTTCTGACAGCCACATCTCCCCTGCTAAATTCCTGTATCAAAAGAGTTGTTAGCATAATGTATTTTATCATTTTATCTGCAGTAAAACTATTTTTCAGGTTTGTTTTATCAAGTCCTGATCACGAAATCATGTTCACCCTTTGTATAACTGTACAGGTCTTAGGATTTTGGGAGGTATTATCTCCCAGCTTTCAGTATGCCAACAAAGTCCTTCTGGGTTTTTCTTTTGAGTTTTATATGTAAAGTACCAATTCATTCTTCTGATGTTAGTGTATATATATAAATACCATAGAATAGATGATCATTTCCCAAAATTTGTTCTTCCTAAGTCGTAAGCGTATGCATCCCACGCAGACTTTCCACGTAAGAGACAGTTGGGAAAGACTGATTGAGCCTTGAAATTTGCAATAATTTTTAAAAGCACTTAAGTGTTTCTAGAAATATTTATCATCTGTTTTCTTGATAAATTTAAGCAGTTAAAGAGAAAGCACATTTGATGATAGCAAATCAAAAGCCACTTATTTTTATAGTATCAATATTTATTCATGTAGTTGAGGTTAATAAAATAGTAAAGCAGTTAAATTAAAATGTACTTTTAAGTTGATTTAACTACAAAATACACAATTTTAGCTTTATGGGCTAATTTTCCTCACACATACATAACCACGATTCTGCGTGCCCTGTGGAGTAAGTCAGAGTCCAGAATCCCCACTCCACAAAGGGCACTGTGCTGGCAGAAGCAGAGCTTGACTCTAAAAGGGTCTTATCTTCATGTAGGAACCAGTAGATGATAATACCATATTTAATTGAGTTCAGGTACACCTTCCCCCCACCCCCACCCCCATATTTTAACACCTCTGAAATTAGGATATATCTTACAGTCTATGGGATGAGAAAGCATTGTGTTTTAGTTTAATTGGCTATATTTTTCTTAGTGCTATGTAGAAAAAAAAATTGTGCATTTTAAAGCCAGTAATTAAGTAAGAACTTAATGTTTGTCCCATTAAAGAAATTGAGACCTTTTCTGTACAGTACTAATGAGCATTTCTAGTTTTCATTTATTGGGTAATAATTGATTAAGACATGGATTACAATGTTTGCTCCTATCTTTCTTAGAGTTGCGTGGAGAGACATGGGGTTTGGGACAGGCAGCCTTAGTTTGAGTCTGGTTGACTGTGTGGACTAGCAGGGTGCCTTCCCATGCTGTATAAACGAGGCAGCCCAGTGCACAGTGGTCAAGACCAGAGTTCACGTGCTTGCTTAGCTTCGGATCCTCTGCAGAATGGGATCGTGAATAAAGTAAATAAAAGTATCCTCTGCATGGAGTTACTATGAGGATGAACTGAGTTATGGATGTAATGTCTGTAGTATAACGTCTGGAACATAGTAAATGCTCAAGAAATATGGTGGTTTCCTTTTTTAAAGAAGGTAATAATAGCTAACTGGTGAAAAGTCACACAGCCCTAAGAGGCCGAGCAGAGATGTAAGTTTAGGCTTGTTTGACAACCTGAACCCCGGCTTGAATCCTTAACCACTAGAGCATACCAGGTACTTTTACTTAAAGGAATCACAATTCATTTTGATTCTGAAACTTGAAATTATTTGTTACTTTACTTAAAAATATGAATCTATAAGTAGTTTTGATACAAAACAAAGTAACTTTAACTTTTGATGTATTACAGTGATGAACATGATGCCATCATTTAAGAAAATCTAAGGACCAACAGAAAGAAGATTGATGAACCCTATCGATTAGTTTAAGCCAATATTCTCTTTTTTAAAATAGTATGAACAACAGGTCATGCACATAATGTACAATGTATTACATAAATATTCCTCATGATTACTAAAGGTAAAAAAGGTTTGGTTTGGGTTTTTAATGAACATTTGGAGCGTACAGTTAACACAATGGTTATATTCACTTTTAGAAAATATATAAGACAAGTCCTGTCGCATTTTTCTTGTGGCATTGGTCACATAGGGCCAGTAACTGGAAGACATATCAAATAGGAGCTTGTCACAACACTCAGGATGTTGACTGTCTTTAGAACTCAGTGCTCTTCAGAGCTGGATATAGTTCACTAATGCCACATAGCAGAAAAGTTACGAGTAAACCAGGTCATAAGCATGATTTTAGTTTGTGTCTCTTTAGAAAGCATCAGTATTTTGTGTTTTAAAGCATAATACTTGGTTTAGAAACAAAATGCACACACCCGAAAAAAAAAATCAAATAAAAACAGAAACCTTACTGGGGCTTAACCCTGTTAGCCGGTATATTTTTTAAAAACTCCTTTCAAGCTTTCAATAGCAGTTGATATAATTATCTTTTTTTCCCTCTGTGATTTCAGCAAACTGCAGCGTTTAACGTGATAGTGTTTTAAAGACTTTGTTAGTATTAAATAAGTTAGATTATTTGCTACTGTGAGAATAGCCTCACCACTGGAAATTGCTTTTTTTATACCCAGCTATTAATTACATGTTTAGTGAATATTTAAAGATATGTAGAGCTTTCAATATATAGAAATGTTTAATGCAGCATAAACACACGTAACTTTAAAATAAAAGTCCCTTACATGATTTCCAAATAACATTTAGCACTCTGTCTAGTCAGGACTGTAGATTAATCTGTTCCTCAAGCCAAGGATTGTAGAGCCCCCCTCAAGCTACTAAACCTATAAGATGAAAATATTATATTTTTCTGCACTGT